CTTTTCGTCGGTTTTCCCATCCACCATTTTGCCGTGGTATTCTTCTCTGCCGACACCCCCGCCTTCTCCAATCATCACGCGGGCAGCTATGGACCGAGCCAATCAGCGTTTGGGCAGCTATGGACCGAGCCAATCAAAACGCGACATTTAATTACCTCGTTATCCCATCCTCACGTCACCGGCCAATCAGAGCGCACCATTTTTCTAGACAGACCCGTCTAGGCTACGCCCACCGGCGCCGGAGGTGGAGTGGAGGGGGTTTGTTTTGACGGCCCATAGCTGCCCACTTACTACTAATATGGGTGATCGCGACACAGACTTTTGCATAACACGTAACGTATAGTGCATAAGAGAATCAACCAATCAAAGTTTTTCTTTTCCATAAAGTGGAAAGAAAGGAAGGATTCAAATTGGTTGAATCTCTTATGCATTATGTGTTAAGCTTTATGTAATGATCTGTATTCCCAGCTTAAAACTGTACATGACTTACCAATCTCGTAATCAAATATCAGATGCCTCGAATCACAGCAGTGTGATTCAAAATTCTCAATAATATAAAGAATTTCTTTTCAATTTGAAGTTCTGTTCGTAATCTTATGAGAGGTGGTCTGCCTGGGGATCAAAAAACCAAAAAATCAGTACAGTCACTTCTATCCGATTAAGGATGTATTAGACGTACAATTCCTACAAAGAAAATGAAATTTGGAAGTATGTTTAATATTTACACTTCAAATAAACTATATATATATGAAAGTTGTGTGAATAAGAGATTATATTTTTGTTTAAAAACACATTTTTATAGTTTAGTTATTTTATTTATTATTTTTATTGTTAAACTAGAATTTTAAAATTGATAATAAATATCTACATTTTTTTATATAAATATTTTAACTATTCAAATTAACTTATGCAAAGTTTCATTGCGATTCACTAATTAGTTACAAAGAACTATATTATATAGAACAAATAAGTATTTTGTTTATTTCCTGAACAATTAGTTTATGTATCACAATATAACTTTATATAAATAATTTTGAATATATAATGTACTTATGTTAAAAAGTTGAAATTTTTGTCAATTTTTTATATATTTTATTATAATACATTTCCATATAATTATTTTATATATAATACATTTCCATATATTTTTATTAGAACGCAGATTTAAAAAATACTATTTATTAAATGTTTTAGAATCGCCATCGCCGATATAACTTACGTACTTTACGCTATGTAATGTTTCGGAGCGCTGGAACATTTCAATTGCCGCGTCAACCTCCATTTTACCCGCCGATCCCTCGTGGTTTATTTGACATTCGCTTGCGTGCTGTTCTGCCCATTCCGCGTATTCTTCTGTCTCTTGTTTTTTACTCCAATATTCACAAAATTTGCATTACTTTGATTTTACTATAAAATCAAGAATTTTGCCAGTGTGTCATCCGATGAGAGAAACTAAACCATATAAAGATGTGAATCCGCGTTTTCGCCAAGATCCGTCGCCCGATATCGTGATTCCGTTTTTTCTCCATTCTCGGCCGAAATTCTTTTTTCTTCATTCGCTGCACGAGATAGACTTTTCTTACAAACAACTTCTGCAGCATTAGAAATGTGTTTAATGATCGAATCATAAACCGAGTGAACAACCGGACTGGGCAATTCCATAAAAGCGCAAAATTTTTTTATGCCTTGTAGACCAACTCCAAGCAATCGCATGGCAAGAATCAATCTGCGATTGATTTCGTAGCCTTTATCGACGTACGGACTATTCGGTATATATTTCTTTTCACATTTATCGCAGGACACAACAATTTTAAATCCCAAGCCTCGTTTACTAGTTTCGATGAATTGTACTTCTGAATGGCACACTTTACAAACAACGACAGTCGAAATGGCGCAAAAACTGCTACGAACAAGGGCGTCCACAGGGGGGGGGGGGGGG